CCGGGCACCGAGGCCCGGGCACCGAGGACTCACACCACCCAGGCCAAGGCCTGACAGGGCCAGAGGACCCGAGCCCCACCAGGCAGACACCAGGCCGAGCCGACACACGCCCAAGCGCCAAGCCCCCGACACCAAGGGCCCCAAGCGCGCCGACAGGCAAGGGCACACCCCACCAGGGGGCCGCGCGATAGGGGCGCGATGCCAAGCACCCCCAGTTGTATCAAAGAGGGGGCAGTCCGAGTCTCGGCCTAACAAATACCCATTCATACACAGACACAATCACACAATCCCAACCTCATTCTCACATTCACTCACTCAAAGACATACAATAACGATACATTTCATTCTTGTTCCCGATACGCACTCTATACCCCCCAGGTCCAAGACATGTACCCGCCCTCTACAGGAGGCAGCCCATGCCCAAACCCAGGAGGTAAACCCATTCGTTCTCGAGCGGAGAAGAGCCAATACCCCAGACCCGGCCCAGGCCATGCCCAGCTGACAGGACACCCCCCCACCATGAAGAGGACACGCCACCGACCACCCCCACACACCGCCAACAACCAAGCACGCGCCCCCAGCCGACCGTCAAATATATCTAAATTGACTGGTCAACAATTGTTCATGTGAAATTACATTTATCTCATTGAAAACCAGATCGTCTAAATATTTTGTTATTTTTATGATCTGATACAAGTGAAGGATTGTGTATTTACTTACACAAGGCTAACAGGTAAAAATACACACCTGACCCTGTGTTTGGGTCCAGTTAAATGGTAAATGGTAAATGGACTGTACTTATATAGCACCTTTCTATCTTGTTTCAAGATATTCAAAGCTCTTTACAACAATCTGTGCCTCATTTACCCATTCACACAGCACTCTACTAGATCTCTAAGATAATCTAACAAATCATTCTAAAGAGAATAATCAGAGCTTTATCACATTCATACACCGATGGGACCCACATCAGAGGCTATGTGGGGTTCAGTGTCTTGCCCAGGGACACTTCAGCATGTGACTGCTAGTGGATTCGAACCCCCAACTCTCGCATTGTAGGACGACTGCTCTAACCACTCAGCCACAGCCGCCCCCAGTTGTCACCTTAAAGAGTACCCAGAGACAGTGGTGGACAAAGTACTCCACTCTAGTACTTGAGTAAAAGTATTGATACTCATGGTCAAATCTTACTCAACTACAAGTAAAAGTTGCTCAGTCAAAAGTTTACTCAA